TCTTGTCGCTACTAGAGCCGGACAATCACATAGGATGTGTAGTCTTTCCTCTTTTGCTTCATTACAGAATCTGCACCACTCATCCGAGTCCATACCGATGACTCTGCAATGTTCTTTAAATCTGCCATGTCCTGTGAGCAGCCTGATCGCAGTGTGGCCACCTTTTCCTGTCCATGGCCAGTAGGTGTTTCGACCGTTTCTTGCTGGCTCCAGGCATGATTGCCCTGGCCTTTCTGTAGATTTTTGTGTCTTTCCACCGCTCCGATTGGTAACGTTGGAGCTTTTCCTTTAGTTGTAGTTTTGTTGTAGTTTCACCTGTAGTTTTCCTCTGGCCCGTACAGTCCTGCTCCAAAGCAGCTTCTGTATCCTGATCCATCTGTATACCAGCACATGACATTGGTGCTTGTTTTCTTTAAAGTTTCCCGGTTCTCCCTCTCAGGGATGCAGATTTTAAAGGCTTTCCTGATTTGGTATTTGGTATTTGGAAACATTCAATTCAGAGTAATTTATTCAACGGAATTTTATGCGGAAGTTGATAGAGGGAAAATTGATTAATTGATATTTTTTAACAATGCAAAATGCTGCAAGAAAAATATTCATATTTTTCGTTCAAAAATTCAAATTTTTGCGCGTTGACTGACGTAACGATTCGCCCACTCCGACCCAAGCATCGTGGTCTCGCCCCTCCAACTACCTGCACGGTACAATAGGACCCCTTATTTTATAGTCATTGGCCTAATTGAGGCTGAGAGCTAGGTGAGCCGATTGAGCGCACTTTGGCCATGCCTGCTTAGAGGTTCCAACTTTGCCCATGCCTGCCTTAGATTGCTTTTGATGTTGAATGCCATTAGGTTAAATTTTCATGAAGATATTGAACTTCGTATTTCGTTTGAAGGACATGTAAAACCCTGAAATGCGTTCTTTTCATCTGTGGGTTAGGCATGTGGGGTTGATTTTTCAAGTAAATCATGAAAACCAATGTTTGACAAAAACTTTCATACTTCTTTCGAAGCCTCCCGAGTTGAAACAGTCTTATGGGTGATTCTTTTTTTTGAAAAACAATTAAAAATAATTGACAATAAGTAAAAAATCTCAACTTGTTGTCAAGGCGTGAAACATTTTGACTCATCAACCAACTTTCAACAATTCACTGAGTATGTCGGCTTTGTATTGGTGAAGTTGTCAAAAGAATGGAGTGGTGTGTTCTCCTGATTACCAATCAATTCACGAAGAATCAGTCAAATTAAAAAACATTCATTTAAGCACCAATTCCATGCAGCTAGCACGCGCAAAGTGCGCGTATCATCTCGTCCGTGAGAAATGGCTAAACAGACCGAGCTCATTTTTGACACAGACTTAGTCCTCAATAATACCTATAATTTGACTAAACCTCACCTTTTTCGGATTAATTTTAGCCGTTCATTTCTTTAATCTTCTAAAAGCGCGGGGGAAGTTGACCATGTACACATACACATAGTGCGCAAATTTCGTGTTTTTACGTTTCAGATCATTATTTCACAGTGAAATACTTTATAAAATATTCTTTATTAACACGAGGAAGGCACGTCTTAACTTGAGGACCGTTGTCCAGAGACTAAAAACTATTTAAAAGGGAAAAACTCTCTCAGGGAAAAGAATAAACTGAAAAACAATTTTATGACTCAAAGGGACACAGTCCTTTGTTGAGATTTCAGCATATGTTTAGGATTAAATCAGTCTCGGGTTCGGAGTACAACCGATCGTAAATTAGTCCCTTAGTAGAGCTGTTTTTCCAGAATGTTTAGGATGGTGTCAAGTAAATTTTGTAGGATAATGAAAGAACTGCACTCAAATATTCCAACAGGCTAATTTGATAAAAAAATGGAAGAGAAAGGAAGGGAATAAATGTAAATTTTTTGATGAACGACAACATGGCAACCAGTTGCGGAGGCTGTTCCATTTCTTCTTGTTTGAAAATATTTTTAACGTTTTCCGACACTGTCTTTATGGTCCAATGAACAGAATTTTCAAAATAGCGAGAGCATAATTGAGTTAGCGATTTGTTATCAGTGTGGAACAGCGAGAAGAGGCGAGTAGAAGGGAATTACGATGAATGCAAACCACTTCGTAGACAAAATGTGGGCAATTACTTAGGAAAAGCCTATTCCGTAAAACAAAAAATTCGTTTGTGGAGTACACACTTTTTACGGCGTAATCGGTAGAACTCTTAGAATAGGGAAAGTACAATAGAGATAGACATCAGTTGCGTCACTTTACCGCAGCCGAGGAGGCAATCATTTCATGCACAGTAAACGTATCACTAATTAAAGAACAATTGTTTCATGTTTTAAAATATGCTTTCAAAAAATTGTGGGGTACAATCTCATAACAGAATAATCAGCACACATCCCAGAGTAGCGCAAAATTAAGGCATAGTGACGTTCATCGAGTGGAATTGTCGTCGCAGCGTTTGTTTTTGATCTTGTAATGTTTCGAAATGAAATATTTGTATTCCTATTCACTCCACTCTCCTTCCATGCCTCCTCTTCTCATTCCCCCGAAATAATAGTTGATCGTCCAGCTATTTCGTCAATTATTTGTTCATAGGCTGTTTAAGAAATTCGTAATTTTTATAGCTATCGTCTCTCGATACCATAACGCAAAATCAAAATATAATTAATTGACGCGTTACCACATATAGATAATACTGACAATACGTGAGGTAAAATGGACACCCGTTAAAAAATATTTGATCTTCAAGGCGGTAAATATCGGGAACCGCTCCACCACAACCTGTGAGTTGAATCGTGGAGACAGACGTGGTGGAGCGGTTCCCGATATTTACCAAATATGGGGTCAAATTTGTGTTGCGGGAAGCACTTGAATGGACATGAAAAAGTAATGAAAAAATGAGAAAAAATTATTGAATGGTGCTACTGAAAGATATTGTTTTAAAGAGATCTACCAAATTTACTCAAAAATGATAAAAAAATACGTAGCTTAACATTGCATCTAGCTGTCGCTCAATCTCCTGAAGAGCAATGGTAAGTTACGTAATTTTCATTATTTTTTTGTGGTAGATTCGTTTTAAACAATATCGCTCTTTAGTGTCATTCAACAATGTTTCCTCTTTTTTTGTAGAATAACTAAGTATAGCCTAAAAAGTCCGAATATGCGGTTTTTAAATGCTGTCTGTATGTATGTACGTCTGTCTGTGTGGTTGTCTTTTTCACTTTTTCTTTCTCTCCCTCTTTTTCTTCACCAGGAATTGATGGAATACCATTATTTTTTTTAATGAATATTGCCTTTTAAAAACTCTATCTATTGACACTGATTAGCTTTGAAATTTTGATAAGGATTTAGAAGAATCTTTAATTTTTGACTGAGTTTTTTATTTCGTTTTTTTTTAATTTCTCCATGAAGGATCAATAGAATATCATGAATTTTCCCGGCGAATATAGACCTCCATGGGCTCCATCCATTGACACCAATGGGAATTGAAATCGGCAGAAAGATTGAGAAATATTCGTACTTTTTCGAAAATAAATGTTCAACGATAACTCCTGTAATTATTATCAACGAGCAATTAATGATCACTAAAAAAATTGATATCAATGGGCTCTTGATCGTATCAGAACATGGAGCATTATTTGTTCTTAAGTTATTGCATATTGTACGTAAGATTTTTTTTTTTCATTTTCTTTGTGATCAACGGAAAATATTATGAGCAATATCAATGAAATGACTTAATTTTTTTTCCTCAAAACATTCTTGTTCAAGTCAAAAGATGATGGAACTGGCCCTATTATTTTCGGATTTTCAGAAAATCCATTCGTAAGCTTGTTGCTAGTTTCTTAGTAACAATAGCTATACGCAATTCCTTATAGTGGCATTCCCCACTTGATTCATTAATTTTTCATTAACATTCAAGTGGTTATTTTAGGCTAAAAAGATCAAATTTGAACAAAAGATGACGTTTGATGGATAGTCCATCCGGGCCTTAAATTTTCAGTATATTACTTTTAGTATATTACAAATTTTTATTATTTTATGTCACCGGGCTGGTAATCCGCGATTCTACCGAGCAATGCGAGGCTAGAATCGCGTGATTACGTGCACCTATAGATAGTTTTTCTTCTTGTGTTTTATCTAAAGCTTTGGTGCAGTCCTGTATAAAGCAGAGCTTTACAAGAAGCAGGGTGAACATATACCGAAATAATTTTTTCAAAACATCAGAATATCAAAATTGAACTCTGCAACGTTCATCATACTTCCTCTACCTTTCCTCTTCTCACTCGACAAAGAGACAGCTGATCACCACCTCAATTTTTGTCTATTCAATTCGGACACATCTGCCAATTATGAGGTAAGCAAATTGTGATTGAAAATCTTAAAAATAATTAAAAATTTTCCAAAGAACGATTTTGCAAAATAATCCCCCCTGAATGTTGTAGAAAATGATTTATTTTTATAGCCCTCCCTTCTCCCTCTGCCCCATCAAATCATAGACTTGCCACTTATGCTTTTCTACAATTACCCTCTCATCTCAATTAAATAGCACGCACTTTATAGATTTTTGTTTTACTTTTGTTCAGCCTACATGGTTTTCTGTGGTACTGCTTGCTCGATGCAGAGATGCATCCAAATTTTGAATTGAAAAAAAAAACAAGAAAAAAACACTATGCGAGATAATCAGATATTCTGACCGGTCGTTAAATAAAAATGAAATGTTACGTTGGAAATGATTTCATTTTAGTGGCTCAGCACTTCATCAATTAGTTATGGGACTATAATACAGTCAGCATAAGTTCTTACTTCCCTGCGTACCCCTTCCTCACATAGTTACCACTTATAACCATGTCTACTCCCAAATCGAATGAAATATTTATGCTGCCTTCAGTATAGCACTGATGAACCATTAAAAATAAATTATTAACTAAAAAGTAAGCACTATTGATGGTTGAATTCCAACTAAACTATATACTTCCAAATTTTTTAAATCACAAATGTGAAATACCTACGTTGAGCTCCAACCCATCAGATGATTCTCCCATCGCTCTCGTGTATCAAAATCAATTTGCCAGAAATTGATGTTGCTGGTACCAGACTGCATAGCATTTTTTGCTGGTTGATAAATACGCACCGTGCGACTTTTTATATGTTCCTGAGGAACACCGGAGACTAATGACAGGTCTTCCATATCATCGACCTCAATGAGACCGCCTTTCATGTTATGTTGACGTTCAATTTCTTCTGGAGGTACGTTCACCACGTTTAAATCATAAGTTATCATCTCTCGTTTTTCAGCATATTTTCCACTGGCAACTGACAGTGCTCTGCGTAATCTTGAATAAACGATATTAATTACTACCAATAGTCAACTCAGTGCTACATAGCAATAAAACAGCTAAATAAAAATCAACAAATAACCACCGAAAATGAATAAATAGTAAGAAACAAAGGTATGGAGTGCGGCATAAAATAGACATCTTTTTATTTGAATTTCCGCAGTAACAATTAGCACTGTCGAATGTTTTTCTCGGAACATAGACTGACTATTTAAAATGATGATCGCCTTGTCGAAAATCATTTAGTTATTGTGAGATTGAACGTCATCATTGATGGTTTCGAAAGGTTATTTATGTTATAGGTGCCCATAATGACACTTTCGGCTGGTGCTACAAGCCTCCCACGCGCCAACACATCCATTATGCACTTGTTGCATAATATACAATTCTCACGAATGGAAAAAGTGAATGAGAATGACTTTTTTCGTCGTGGCAATGATGCTATTTTATGTTATTGTGACCGGAAATCTGTTTGTAGACAAGCGAAGCAAAGTTAGAAACGCGTTTTATTGACCACAAAGATATTACAAATATTTTGTTATTATTTAAGAACGTAATAAAATAGTACAAACAACATCGTCGAAGGTCAGCTAATAGGAACTTTAAGCCCATTCGATGCAGTACACTATTAGTACCAATTTACTTGCATTATTTGGTTTTTACTCTTTTTACAGTTGGAGGATGTCATTCGCTAATCTATCCACCCACCAATTCACAATTACTAAATGTTTCATCCATTTATTGGTTAGTCTAAACATGGGAAATCGGTTTCTAATAAGTATCTATTTTAATCAGCATTACACAAATCCTTGAGTTGTGGTTGAGATACATAAGAAATAGTCAATACGGATAAGGCGAATAGATTAGTGTTTGATAAAAAAAAAAATAGGAGGAAATAAATTATTTGCAGGCAAATTGGAGCAAGCACTGTTATATACAATCAATGAGAGTTCTGTAGCACTTACATTGAATTTCTGAAGAATATTGGTGTGCCAAACTTCTTAATGCAAAAAACGGAGCCCCGAACGCCAAGAGCCATTTTTCATTTATCGGGCAGTACAAAGAATATTGACGTACGTAGAGGTTCAATTCTGGGGGTTTGACTGACCTCAGATGCATCGTAGTATCGCACCCCATGAGCATGAGGGCGCTGCTCGTCAGGAGATGTGGCGGCACTGCCTGCGGCAGTTTCCACCCCGCTTACGGGGTGCGAGGTAGTTGACACCACATAATTGAAAATTCATTAGTTTTTATATTTCGATCAATAGTAGGATCTTTGTAGATCATTGTGATACGAGAAATAATAGGGGAGATCAGGGGATTCCCGGGGGTCTCATTTTTGCCTCTTCGAGATCGAGATGTGGCGGCTAGGCAGTCGGCATCATCGAGTCCTGCCGTGCCTCCACCACCCAAGCGCCAACGTCGGAAGCAAGAACTTTGTCCTCGACAAGACTGAAAGGTTGGAGAGTTCCCTCTCCAATCGTCACGAGTATTACGCCACAGCTTTAGCGTACATTGAGCATAAGATATATATATAATTATTCCACCTTAAGGCCCGGATGGAGGGAATTTTTTCTCGACAGGCGATTTTACGCCCTCCCAATTCGCGGTCAAGACCCGAACCTTGATCTCAAGCGATGCCTTGTCGGTAACTACGGCAATCGCTGGAAACCAGGGAAACATTGGACAGTGGGGCTTTCGAGGGCGCCGAAAAATTTTTTCATTCGCTAT